AGATTATTAAATGCTAGAGTATTTTTTTAATATAAATATATCTAATAGGGGTAAAGTTAAAAACTTGTTGAATTTTTAGACAACGTTAATGAGGGTTAATGGGGTTTAATGTTTTTTTTTATTTTGGTAAAAGTATTGGAAGTGACTTATTAAAAAAAAAAAAAACAGGAGGGAGTACATTCTAATTATCCACTAAGTTAACTAGCATACTGTAAATATATATAAAAAAAATCATTATATCTCCAAATGCAGTTCCATCAACAATCCATGCTTGAAACAAGCATAACACAATGGTAAACTAGAACAATTAATGGTCTTGTCACAAAGATTACAGATTTACTGTTTATTAATTTGCATTAACAGCCATGCTTTTCTTAATTCAGGACGTGGAAGAGCCTTAAATGCCTCAAACTTTCTTTCATCATGAATAAGCATATTATAAATGTCCAGAAACTCAGCGTCGTTTAAGTCAGACACTTTGGAAAGTTCATCATATACCTCCTGAACACTTGTTTGTTCAGATTCCGGTGGGTAAGCCTCGGATATGGTATTAGCCACAGGTTTATCATCACTAGCAGAATGATTTCTCTCCCCCGAAAGATGAACTTGTGTGCCTTCAATTGAATCATCAGTGAAAATTGTTGCTTCCTATTACGGAATGAATTGACCATCGATCATAAAAGAGAGGACCACATGCTTAGAAGACTCAATCACAGTTAGTCTCTCAAGACTTGTATCAATCAAAGTTAGTGTGAGAGCTGATTTCAGAACTATGAATCAAAAGAATTTCTGTCACCAAGTTCTTATGGACTCAACTAGAGCCAGTCCCATTTTCAGGATTCAACAAAGTACTTGTCAGATAATATTAACGTCATACCTGAGTAGTAGTCGCACTCTCGGATAATGGCCCAGGTTGAAGGCAGTACGACGGAGAAGGTGAATCGATGGTGTTGGTTGGCGTTGCAATCGTTAGGCTGAGTTTGCATGGGCATGAACATGGTCAATGTCGTAACATCGTAATCATAAAGACATCAATTCATATGTCATATATATGTCTTGTACCTTGCATCGTCAATAATAATGAACTGCGTTTGTGAATCATTTAAGTTCTCACTTGGTGATGCACTCCCTTGTCCTTGTTCCTGAGCTTGAGAGCAGCTTGTGTTTCCCTTAAAGATTAGGAATTTGGTGTTTTGATTTCAATTCCACAGTAAAATCAAGTCAGCATCTTCTATATTAATTCTTACATTGGAAATATATTCAAATTAGTCTGCCCAATATGAAGATTGTGGTTCAGAAAAATGATCCAGAATGCAGATTCAAATATGTTTATATATTTATGGGTTTGTGACGTGTGCCGATTATTTCATAGATTACCCTCCTGGTTCCTGGTGGGCGAGGGTGGGGTGCTTGTCCCCCACAATTTGATTGGTCCTTAGAAAATTTTTAATTTTTTTATTTTGCATGTAAAAAATGTAAAAATTAGTGTTTCTGAGTATTTTTTAATTTTGCCCCCTATGCTTGCATTTCTGGATTCGTGCCTGCTGTAGAGCATATATATCACAGCTCATCAAAATTCAATTTTAGAGTTTCATGGTAACAGGTCAAAAAGTAGTCCAGCATATAAAACTCCCAACTCAGACTAATTAAGATATACTTTCTTGATATCATCTTTATATATAAGGTGTTTTTTGAAAACCTTTTTTTATCCTTAAATATAAGGAGTGTCATCATATTTTTAATGGATAATTTTGCCCTTATTATCTTGGAAAGGAGAAGAGATATTAATTATGTGTTTCATCTACCACACTCTGAAAATCAAACCCAGTAATATATAGGGTACAAAAACCTAGAGCTTGTTTAGTCTTATTCTCATTTTTTATTTTTGAAAACTATTTCATAAATCAGTTTTTAAAAATTAATTTTTAAAACAAAATGAAATGAAAATATGTTTGGTTGTGTTAATTTAAAAACAATTTTAATTAAAATTAAACAATTAGCTGATAATGATGGGTATTGGTGGTATCTTATGATAACAATTGTTCAAGCTAACTGTAATTTTCAATAATCAAATGATTCTATTTTAAAAATAAGAAAAATAAAATGAAAATAACTTCAATATGTTTCTATTTTGTTATTTTTAAGAAAAAAATGAGAATAGCTTTAAAAATAATTAAATCTAAAACATTTATCCAAATGAGTTTTTAAATTTATTTTCAAAAATAGGAAACAGTTTTTAAAAATAAAAAATAAACAGGCCCTTATCCTCCAATTGGTTTATCTTCTTCTAAGAGATTGTTAATAAGATAACCATCTCATTTAGTTCATTGGTTGACCAGCGCCTCATTTTTCTTCCACAGTTCTTAGGACAAACTAGAAAACTGTTGTGGTTTTATGTGCTTTCAATTAAATAACTAACTTTTATCTGTATGCAAGATTCAATTAAGAAAACACTTTATATATCAAGATTGATAGAGAAGTCGATTACTTCTCAGTTCCTAGAGGACATACCTGAGTAATCTCAAATGACTGGACCATGGCTGGTGGAGCAAAGTCACAATCGCTACAGTAATGTCGGAGCAAAAGAGTTAATGTTATAAAAACCATAAGTGTGAATTTGGAAGATTAAATAATAATGATCAAAACTTGGAAATTTATAATTTATAATTAGGTGATTAATTAAAAGACGACAAGATCATGTTTCATATATATCTTGTACCTGGCTTTGTCCGACATATACGGAGTCAATGAATCATATAATTTGGTTTCATTTTCTAACGTAGGAGCAGATGGCTCTGGAGCCTCGATTTTTTACCCTTTTCGGCTAAGTTTTGAATTTGATGGCTCTGATCACCTATTGAGAAGTTGCGTTGTCGTTGCTCTTGTGCTTCATAGCACCTTGGATTTTTCTTTAAAACATGGCACAATCTATAAGTATATCTTGCAAAATAATTGAACATTATTTATTATTAACAGCTTATGACCAGTTCCTTTCTTCAGTCAAATCGTATAAATATTAAAATTATAAATGCAGGAAAGAGTATAAAAGGAATAAAAGAAAGTCATTTTGATTGGTGGATGAATGTAAGTTTCAAATTTTTGTCCCTCGGTAGTAAGGCTCAAATTGCTTGTTAATTAGGACAACATTTGAAACTTGGAGAGATATTTTATTTTGGTGAAGGTGAATTTTACATGCCTTTTCATTTAATATATGATCCATTCGATCCTTATTATAAACCATTTTCAACTATTTTACTATAACCAACAAATAAAAATTAACTTGCTCCCATTAAAAATAAAAAGAGAGAGGTACGCAACATGCAATGGGCAATAAGATTAAATTTACAGCAGAGGTAATATTGGAAAATGATAATATAGAACCCTCAATGTGCCATATATTAAGGACTAAAGAATCCTTATAAAAAGTACCATATATGATGGACAGAAGGGAGTATATATTAATTATGTCATTATAATTAACAAGTGATGATTGATGAGGATGTAAATATATTGTAGTGTTCCTTCATGTCTTTAATATAAGATGTTTCAGACATTTTTCATACATATTAAGAAAAATTGTTGGATTATTTTATTAGTTCAAAAGTATCTCAATATTCCAACTATATATACCCTCATTAATTAAATGAAAACTCATCGTACTTTACTGAAAGTTACAAGGAAGATACTAAAATTATACGGATAAAAATATAATATCATTTTATATTCTGACTAGACACTTTGTAATTTGAATCAACTTCTATTTTTGGATGACGCATTATATAAAAATAATTAAAAACAATATAGTTAGGTTAAAATATGAAAATACATTATATATATATATATATATAGAGAGAGAGAGAGAGAGAGAGTGAGAGTGATTTACTTGATTGTCATCGTGCACTCCCATGGCTAAGAGGAGACTTACAAAATCCATCTTGCTCATGACACGCCACCCACACTAAACGAAATTCAGTCCATCTTTCTTTTCAGTTTCAGCATCAAATTTCAAGTGAAGTTGACTGTAATCCATTGATAAACTCGAGCAAGTTTGCTTCCCAATCTGTCCAAACAAGATCCAAAGGTGGGGAGACTTTATTTGCTTCTCCAGTTTTCGATCCCTTCCTTGCAAGAACACGAACTTATCATCCAAAGCTTTAACAAAGTAATAACGCCAACAAAATACATTTTGGTAGGCTTCAGGGGAATAAAACATGTCATTTTCAAGCACAATGCAAAGTGCAAATCCAAGCCAGTTAGTAGGTGGGACGTCCACAATGATTGATCGTTCATTTTCCTTATCCAGGAAAACAGATTTTTGACTCTGAAACCAAAATGGTATTTCAGTCCCTGGAATAGTCACCGAGAAGGTTTTAATTGATAGTGATGCCCATGAGTCAGCTTTCAATCTATGTGATTTCCATTCCGCGTATTGCCCACTCTAAAGAACACAAATTTGTCATGTCATCATATGTCAAAGAATATATACAATTAGCAAGCATTAAATACTGAGAGTGGGCGCCAAAGACCTTTGGGTTTAGTGACACAATACTATATATATATATATATATATCTCCCCCTTTGTGAGAGAGTCACATGTTCAAATGTCTACTTGTTTGTGGGTGGGGAGTGTGTTTGGCTATTTGAATACTTCTATAAGTGCTCTATGAATCTAGAGATATACTCTGGTCCTGGTGAGCGCCTTAGATCCAACTTACTTAAACTTTCCTATATCTAAAAAAAGTGAGAGATCATCCCCAAAAACTAGAATGTCTAGTAGAAGAGTCTTTTGAATTTATAACCCTCATTTTTATTTGCAAGATTTCCTGACATTAAGATTCATAATAATGTATATATAACATATATGTATACCTGATCAATTGAAGCAAAAAGATGTAATAATCTTTCTTCTAACAAAGTTGGCAATGAAGTACAACCTCCTGCATCCATTAGATCTAAACCTGGTGAAGGTTTGGGCATCAATTGAAGCCTTGGGCAGGAATTCAAATTAGAAATCGTAGGTTCAAGAGCTTAGAAATGCAATCAATAGGTAGATTCGTGAAGTTGTTTCCACTTAGATCTAATTTCCACAATGATGACAAGCCACTGAGGTCACTTGGAAGGATTCCATCTTCAATATTGCACTGGCTTAGATCTAATTCTACTAGTGACTTAACGCTGAAGATTGATGTAGGCAATTTTAAGCCCTTATTAGGATGAAGTGACAGTTTCTTGAGTTTTTCTAAGGAACCAACAGAAGAAGGTACTTCTGTGATAGTTGTTCCACTTGCATCAAGCTTTTCCAAGGCTTTATTTTCATTCAAGCTTTTTGGAAGTTTAGATAAATTTGAACAACTAAAAATATCAAGAACTTTCAGACACTTCAATTTCTGAATGTTATGGGGTAGGTTAACAAGATTTTGACAACCTCTTAAATCCAAAGTTTCCAGATTAGTTAGTGATCCAAGTGACTCAGGAAGTTCGGCTATGCTTGTCTCCTTAACATCAAGTACTACGAGATTTTCCATACATTCTCCAAAATTTGGAAGCTTCTTAACTTTCGTGCAGCCACAAAGAACAAATTCTCTCAGAGATGCCATTTCCAATTCTCTTGGAAGGCTTTTGAGATTTTTGCAATCTTTAAAATTGACTTCAACAAGGCCTTTGAGCTGGCCAAGAGAAAGATCAATTTGAACAAGTTCCTTGCATCCTTCAAGGACTAATCTTTCTAGTTTTGGAAATGTGGACAAATGTCGAGCTTCAATGAGTTGTTTGGAATGGCTGAAGTCCAAAAACTTGAGATTCTCCATCTGATGATCAAAAAGAAAACTCAAAAAATAAGTGATAGAAACAATATCTTAAATTAATCCATCCAATGATGCATGTTAGGTATTCTCTCTGGTTCTAATTATAAGTCACTTTCAATCACTTCATTGGAATCAAGAAGTTTAATTAACTCATTAAGTCTATTTTAAAATTAAAAAATATCCCAACTTTACCCCTATTAAAGAGAGGGAAGAAAAACAACATTTGAAGAGCCAGATATAGAAAAATTAAATTAGAATAAAATTTTTATTTTAGTAATTTACTAGGGGTAAAACTAAAAAATGTTAATTAATAACTCTCTATGTGACTTATACTAAAGACAAAAAAATACATCTAAAAGGCGCTTTATAATAAGGACTAGAGCAAATAATGCTCAAAGTAACTTACTTTGCCACCATGATGAAGTCGCTTTATTTTGCTGTTTTGCATTCAGACATGTACAAGTTCATCCAATTTTGCATCCAATGAAAGTGTTTGTTGAGGATATCCATACCAATCAAGAACTTTTAATTTGCAAGGTAAGTCTTTCAGACCAAAAGGAAGGGAAACATTACATGATATGATGAGTATTCGAAGGCGACTCATGTTTGAAAAGGCATTAGGGTTAGGTTTCCATTCAGTTATGCCATTGTCATAACTACAAGGGAAAACTATACCTTCTATTGCATCGGTCCCCTGATGAGAAAACATTAACCCCAAGAGATATATCAAAAGAACATATATATAAGTTGAATATATAAGGCATATAAAAACTCACTGAGAACATTATATTATTATCATGCAATGTTTGGTAAGTAGAAAAGTGTTTTCTGGAAAGAAATAGGAAACAGGTACATTTCTTATTTCCTTTATAGCCTATTTATTCCTTTCTGGAAAACAAATTTCGTGTGCCAAACATATAATTATTGTTTCTAGAAAATTAATTACTCACTAAATCTCGTTCTAGTACTTGAACAATGTCCTTGGCATACCACAATCTGCTGCGCCTTTCAACTTGTCCAGGAGATTCTTCCCGAACAATACTCCTAACCATATCTTGAATCAAATTGTGCATCTTTATATACTTGTAATCGCCTACCTCAACTTCATCGAGCAAAGATTTTTTGATAAGACTCGGGATACCAATTGTTGCATAAAGACCACAACTTTCCAAAATTTGCATTACTTCATATTTTCCCCAAATATTAAAAAAACAAGCAATGTCAAGAAACATTGCCTTTTCTGCAGGGTTTAATGTAGCATAACTTATTTTCAGTATATTAAAAACATGATTATTTGGATCTTCCTTCAACATATCCAGAGCCTTTTCCCATTCACCTACATGTCTTCCACAAAAAAAGGAACCCAAAATACGGAGAGCCAAAGGAAGGCCTTCTGCATAATTAATGACTAATTTAGACTTCTCCAAAAGGCCCTGTTCATCTGCAGCCTGATCTCTTGTAAATGCTTTTAGGCGAAAAAGTTGAAGAGATTCATTCTCATCCATTGGCTTAACCTCATATATTGAATCCACATGATGTAACCTAAGTAAGTGGACATCTCTTGTTGTTATAATTATCCTACTCCCGGCACCAAACCACTCGATGCTTCCAGCAAGGCTCTCCGATTGGTTTATAGAACTAACATCATCAAGGATTTTTATTGCGAAAGTGATTTTTTATTGTTTTTCTTATTATGAAGGTGTCTTCAATTTCTTTGTTTTCTTTTCTAAGATGTGAAAGTAGTTTTCTTTGTAAAGAAGATAGTCCACGTCTTTCAGAATCCTCCCTAACATTGGCGAGAAAACAATGAAAATCAAATTCATGACTCAACTTCTCATAAATGGCTCCTGCAAGAGTTGTCTTGCCAACTCCGCCCTTACCCCATATTCCTACAAACTTGACTTCATCAAGCTTCTTTAATAGATAGAATTCTATTTCACGAATTCTCCAGTCAATACCAATTAGCTTATCATCCATAACTGTTCAACAACACTTTCAATAAGTTGTGATTCATACCTGCAATTACAAATATGATAAGAGGAAATGACCGTCAACTCACAGTAATGATGGAGGATTGCGTTCTAAACATTTAATCTGGGAAAGGAAGCTTTTACTTTGTCTTTCTAATAATTTTAAAATTTTGTCACTCAAAATAAAAAAATTGTAATGAATAGTTTAAAGTCACATTCCCTTAGTAATGAAGGACAGATTATTAGATTTATGTTGTTTGGAAAAAAAAATTCCCTAGTTTACCCTTATTAAAGGATTCAAGTGTAAAAATACTTATAAACTTTATCATCAAGAACTATGAACTTTCTTTAGTTAGGGCATTCTTCCCCATCCCATTAAATTTGATTGATGTCCGTTACGATGGAGTGGTGTTGACTATTAAAACAAAATAAAGAAAAAATAAGGTGTAGTAATACCCATAAATAATTTTTTTCTCTAGGAACTTCTATTATCCTTAAATCAACAATGGTATAATCATGGCCTTGCATTCCAAAAAAAAAATAATGTTACATGGATACTTATTAACTTTATAAAAAAAAGGTCAACCTTTGCTAGAACTGGTAATTCAAGTGAGTCAGGCTTACTCAAACCAGGTTTAAAATAACCAAATATATATTTATGAAAGCTCTTATATTTTGAACACCTAAATTGTTAAATACTAATTTTTTTATTTTTTTATTAATAATAAAAAAGAATTTGGGTATTTGAGCTAAGCTAATTTAGGTTCGGATTTAGTTTGGATTTCTTTGAGCTCCTGAAGTAAAAAACATTTTCTAAACTCCTAAGACCAGCCCTAAATTAACACACTTTTTAGAGATTCAATAAATATATTTTCTTATAGGGTACTTATTTGTAATTGTTGGGGCTTTTTTTAAAAAAAATTGAGATCATTTTCTATAACTTTTTAGATCAACTAACAATCAAAATTGACCTTTTTAATGATATAGTATCTAGTGCACTATTTTCACTTCAAATATTGAAGTGAAAAATTGCGCGATATATAAGTTTAGGATATTAGATGCTTTTGAGCGAATAGTTGATAAATAAAAATGCCCTTTAACCCTTTTTTTGAACAAAAAATGTTTAGTTGTGATGAATCATTTCTTGAATAACAGTAAACATGAATTAATGGGAAGAAAAAATAGACAAACAGTAAAAAAAATTCAATTACGAATTTATGAATGTGAAGTGTAATACTTCTTCACAATTAAATTTTCTACCTCACAATAAATAAAAAAATTATCTTGTCACAATTGAATGCCCACCTGTGGTGTAACTGCATGAGTTGATACAAATATAAACAGTTACTGTAGTTAATTTCAACATTAAAAAACAAAAAAACTTACCATTGTTCGGAATCCCAGCCAGATAAATTAGCAAGTTGGGTAAGAAAACCTCTCCATTCTCTGACCTTCTTGGGATCATCTTGGAACTTTTTTTGAATCTTATCAAAAGCTTCACCCAAGCTTCCTCTTTGATGTCTTACATCCGCTGGACTTACTTGATAAAAGATGGGAAAAACTCGTTGACTTGGTTTATTTCTTGTGGCAAGAATATGTTGAAGCTCGTCTAAACACCACCAAGAGGAAGCATAATTTCTGGACACGACAATTATTGCAAACTGAGATCGTTCAATTGTTTCTTTGAGTTTCTATGAGATAGTTTCTCCCCTTTTGAGTCCTTCCTCGTCTCTAAAAACTCCAAATCCACTCTTACGCAGTGCAGAATACAAGTGGTCAGTGAAACCTTTTCGAGTATCTTTGCCCCTGAAACTGAGAAACACATCATACTCCCAGTTTTGGGCTGAATTGGAGTCAGAAGACTTTGAGGAATATGCTTCTCGGACACTTGCCATTCAAGAACTGAGAATCAAAACTTATAACCTTTCCGATAATATGTTTCGATGAACTTAATTGACGCTTAATTTATACTAGTCCAAGGGTTGGCTTGCAATTTGGTAACCAGGGACAACCTTAATTTCCAAGATGTGATCGGATCTTTTCCTTATTAAATTTATTTTTTCCCTAACAATCGCCACCATTAATTTGAGAATACGTATTTTGATATATACATATATACATATATATCAAGGGAAAATTAAGTATAGGTCCCGTAGCGCAAATTTATTTACCTATAAGTCCACAAAATTTAAAAACTATAGTCAGATCTTTTAAACCTAAGTGCATTTTGAAAGTAGGGTACAAAGATAATACTACCCTTATTTGTAATGCATGATCAATTTAACTATTAATATTGCAAATGCAAGTAAAATTACAGTTGAAAAAAGTTGAAGTAATAATTGTAAAGCATTGATGAAGTAATTGTAAACAATTAGTGTTAAACTTTGTTAGTAACATATGATCAATTTAACTATTAGATATGCAAATTACTAATGAGGTAATTGTATACAATTAGTATTAAACTTATAATACTTAATCAGTTTAATTATTGAATATGTAAAATTATAGTTATAAAAAGTTGAAATGATATATGTAAATTACTGATAAAGTAGCTATAAATTACTTATAATATGATGTAGTTTACTAGGGTATTATTGTTTTTGTACTCCAATTTTAAATTACAGCCAAATCTCAAGGGGCCCAGCTGTGGTTTTTAAATTTTATTAGACTTATTTGTAAATAAATCTGCTTCACAGGATTTAGACATAATTTTTTCTTTTTTGAAATACTTGAAACTTGACTAATCTATCAATACAAGTACACAACTAATCTTTGACTACGGAGAAATTCATATTAACGCATTGGTCTAAAATAAAGAATTTTGAGTAACGCACGAAACAATGCTTTTCAAGGAAATGACTCATTCTACGACCGATCAATTATGTAACATGCAAAGAGCAAGTTAGCAATATTTTATCTGCCGTGAGAGCCATGAAGTGTATACTTTATCTGCCCAAGATCCGTGTTGGATTTCTTATGTCTAGTGATACCCGTTTCTTTTATAATTATATATTTTATTGTTTATTTTAAATAAAATAAATAAAACTACCTCACTTCCATATGTCTCTCCGTGTTTCCAACTTCCCCTTAATTTATATATAACTTCAAATTTATAATTAAAACATTAATAATCAAATAAAAAATACTAATCAATTAAATTAAAATTTAAAACGCAATTTCCTAATAAATAATTTAATTTATAATACTGACACGTGTACATTTACATAATAATGCAATTTAAAAAAGCCATGTCAGATTGTATTTATTTTATGTAAAATAATCTAATTTATATATTTTCAATTTCATGATATTTCTCTTGATTTTTAAATTCCACATTCCATCTACTTTAATCATACTTCGTAAGTGTTATTTAAATTTAACACTATATATATATATATATATATATAACTCTCCACGGTCAAAAAACTCTACTACAAATTATAAAAATTTCCTGCACAAAAACTTCCATGCTTCTGAAAATCTCTCCACCATCATAACTTTCCAACTTCTTATTTTAAAATTAAATTTTAAAAATGAAGATAAAGTTTAAAATTCATAACTTCTTATCTTCAATAATCTCTCCACTGTGTCAATATCAACAACACCACTGCACATAGAGGGCCACATGGCATTTTTATTTTTTAGAGTTTTCGTTTTATTTTATATATTTATTTTGTGCTGAGTGTGGGGTTCGAGTATAATTTGTGACTTCATAACTAGTTTTTCCCCAAAGAGCTGAGTAGAGTGAATAGCTATCATTTATATCCCTCCGTAATAGCTTCTTCTACGCATAAACCCACGAATAGAGTGAAGGTGATGGGCATAATTGCACACATTTGTCTTCTTTTCATGGCTGTACATATTGATAAGGAAGTCCATGTATATTAAGAATTTGAAAGGGGAAAAGCAATGAATGAACCATAGAAGAACATGTAACATGCCAAGAGATAACTTTCGATTAGTAGGCACTTCCAAAAATAACTTGCTATGCGGAACCTAATTTATGACTCAAAATTCCTTTGTTCTTATGTATTATTTTATGTTGGTCTTGATTGCAATTAGGAACTTTTACATATGTTTATACCTCGATCTCAAAGATTATGGACTCAGTTTCTTCTCTCTTTTTGTGCTTCTCTAAAATAAAGCAAGCCCATAAGCATTCTATATTATGAATGTTATATGCTAGGTCGATCCAAGGCAACACCTATTGAGTTTTATTTGAACATTCAGGTTATTGAGTTTCCTATCTTCTTGTGTTCTCGTTGTTAATTTTTTTTAGTAGAAAATATAGTGAATGAGGTATATAAATTTATAACTACCGTCTTCAAATCAATCTGCTTCTCTCTTGTTTGCAATTTGAAGGCTGCGCGTTCCTTTCTGCCACCATGGATGGAGACCATATCAGCCATCTTCAACGTGCAGGAAGGCTAAATTTTCTATTCCATCAGTTCTTTGAAGAGTTGGTTACTTTGATTTCCTTTGTAAGTAAAGTTCGCTCTAAGATCTACCAACTAGGGAAGCCTTAATTGAAGAGG